GTGGCCCCACCCCCCCGGGGGACGGAACCCGGGTTTTTGGCCAGGTCCGCCCCCGAGCAATTCGGGGGGCGCCGGGGGGGGGGGGGCGGTAAATAAAAGTGCAATGAAAGGTAATATCATTTCTGGTTACATATTCGCTTCATTGTGATTTATAGATTTTTTTTTCTCAAAGTGGTATTTGGTATTTTCAACCTCAATCGCACTGTACGTGCACAAAAGGTAAGAGCCCAAGTCATAGACCCCACCCCCTCCGGTCCGGCATGGCCAGGTGGTTAGTGAGCTCGACTCGTAATCTGAGGATCGCTGGTTCGAATCCCCGTCCCACCAAACATGCTCGCCCTTTCAGCCGTGAGGGCTTTATAATGTGACGTTGGTAAAAGAGTAGCCCAAGAGTTGGCGGTGGGTGGTGATGACTAGCTGCCTTCCCTCTAGTCTTACACTGCTAAATGAGGGACGGCTAGCGCAGATAGCCCTCGTGTAGCTTTGCGCGAAATTAAAAACAAACATCATAGACCCCCTCCCCCCTAGAGCTCAGGTATAGCTGTCTTTAATTTTAGACTGCTTATGAGAGAGAAAGCAGCCAGTCAGCCATAAAGGTTTGAATCGGATTGACTGTTACTCTTTTAACGTACTTACCGTTAGGCCTAATTTATTTCATTATACAGATCGCCTCATTTCTTTAACACTTAAGTACTCTGTCGCCATGATTATTAAAATATAGTAGCTATTTATTAATTTGTTTGTTTGTAGTTAAGCACAATGGGCTATCTGTGCTCTGCCCACCACGGGTATCGAAACTCGGTTTCTAACGTTGTAACTTCGTAGACATACTGCTGTGCCACTGGGGGGGGGGAGGTCCTGTAAATTGAATACGTTATACTTTGTTTGTTTTGTTTTATTGTGACTAAATCCCTTATCTTTATTGCTATGCAGGTAATTTTGACTTTGAAACAGAGGAAAAGATTTTACACTTTCATTCCGATGGAGCTAATCCCAGGCCAGGATTTTTCATTCAAGTTCACCAAAAAGAGTGTGATTCTCGAACTGGAAGACCGATACTTCCCACGAGACGAAGCTGTGATCGAGATTTCAGTGCACGTGTGTTCGAGTTGACTTCAGTGAACTACCCCGAAGACTACGAAAACCTGCTGAACTGTCACTACAGCGTCAAGAAGTACAGCAACGACGTTTGTTCTTTGGAACTTATGTTTTTAGATTTCTCTCTTCAGGACGGACCAAACTGCCTTCACGATTCACTTCAAATTAATAATGAGTTAATCTGTGGGGATATTAGTCGGGGAACTGTTCGTAAGTACCTCCATTTTCTATTAAAAAGAATCGTATTAAAGTTATCTTGGTAGCTCGTAGTTTAACTGAAACATGTGTGAACAAAGGCATGTGAAAAGTATAAACCACCTCATGCCCTAACACGGTGGATATTACGAAAACACGTTTTCGCTTTCTATTATACCAGAATACATATTCTGACTTATATGATTATTTTCAAAACACTTGTATTATCGTGTTTACTTATTACCGAAAGACGTGTACTGCCTTACACGGTCACGTGTGTATTATCGTGTTCACTTATTACCGAAAGACGTGTACTGCCTTACACGGTCACGTGTGTATTATCGTGTTCACTTATTACCGAAAGACGTGTACTGCCTTACACGGTCACGTGTGTATTATAGTGTTCAGTTATTACCGAAAGACGTGTACTGCCTTACACGGTCACGTGTGTATTATCGTGTTTACTTATTACCGAAATACGTTTAATGATCTACAAGTTTATTAACTTTTTTTTCTTTCTGGTAAGGGTCGTCACAAGATAACATCTTTACCTTAACAGTTAACATCAATAACACTTTTGTAAGCGCTGTTCTTTAACTCATCTAATTTATTTCACATATTAACTCATAATAAGATTTGTCCCTCAACAATTAACGCTTAACCAATCAAATAGTGTGGTGCTTTTGTAACAGTGCTGACAATAGTATTTCAAAACCTAAGGGTTTCATACACATCCTATAAGGAACGTGTGTAACAATGGTGACCATAGCTTCTCATAACCTAGGGTTTCATACACATCCTATAAGGAACGTGTGTAACAATGGTGACCATAGCTTCTCATAACCTAGGGTTTCATACACATCCTATTAGGAACGTGTGTAACAATGGTGACCATAGCCTCTCATAACCTAGGGTTTCATACACATCCTA